GAGAGAGAGAGAGAGAGAGAGAGAGAGAGAGAGAGAGAGAGAGAGAGAGAGAGAGAGAGAGAGAGAGAGAGAGAGAGAGAGAGAGAAGAGGCTTACCTGGGGATTGACAGCCAAAGGCACATGAAGAAGAAGACTCCATGAAGCTGGCAACCATAGCCGCAAGAAGAAAACTCCACAAAGCTGTTGGAGGTGAGTGACAATGACATTCCAGAAGTAGGGATGGAGGCTAGGGAAACCAAGCGGGAAGGAGAAAGATGGTGGTTGAGTGGCTCATGAGGTGAAAGCCACCATACCCATCGTTGGGTGAGGTGGCATCGAAGAAGACTCCTAGGGCTACTGTGATCAGTACTCTTCATCCAGGACTGATTGTACTACCGCTAGAGCTCAGGTTGATCCTGTGGGAGTGGTGAGAACAGGTTGCAGACGTGGCGTAGTCATGCTGATTGATCTGTGGCAGCAAGTGGAGGAGATGATTCTTGAGAGGTGGAATATGAGACTGCAATGGTAGTGGAGATGGAACTTGAGATGAGACTGCAATGGTAGTGGCTTCATCATTTATAAAGAGTTGCTCGTTGTGTAGCAGTTCATTCGCTTCTGGTGTTGACAAGTTGTCATTTGCTGCTTCGTTGATTGATTGGTTTGAATCAAGATTGGATTGGCAATGTTTTGGACGTGATTGAAACTTACGTTGAATGGCTTCCATTTCATTAGGCACAGAATGCACTGCTGCTTCTCTCTTTGCGTGGAGATGTGAGCTTTCTCTGATTTCCTATGGATGGTTTCTGTTCTGTGTCGTTCTTCCAGGGTGTTGGGAACACTCTGAAAAAGCACTACGAGTCTTACTTGTTGGAGTATGAACTGGCTCATGAGGACACAGTTGGGGACTTTTGCGTCCTTTGTCGAAGGTGAGGCTTCCAAGTGGTCTTTTGTAACGGCAGGGCAGACATTGGTCAGGGAGTAAACAAACACTGGCCTAAGGATTTCAAACATTTCAGATATCAAGGATCTGTAGCACATTTGAATGATGAGCATGCTACACATGATTTCATGCACTGTTGTGCCAGACAGCAGTCCTCTCTCACCTCCTGTGTGGTTCTCAATATGCAGAAAGCATATGCATTACATCATGCAGGTCAAGAAAGGTCGAGCTCGTCAAGAATGTCAAAATGGAACCAAAACGTTACGAAGTACAGAAGCCCACTACTGCTTAGGATACCTGCTTTCAGGCTGCTGATCAGTATCGCAAGGGGCTAAAGAAGGATGGTCAGGTGGTGGCCTAGTGTGCCAACTTGGCAGACTCTCTCTCTCTCTCTCTCTCTCTCTCTCTCTCTCTCTCTCTCTCTCTCTCTCTCTCTCTCTCTCTCTCTCTCTCTCTCTCTCTCTCT